GGCCTCTTCCTTACAGTGATGCTAATTGGGAGTGGTAGGGTCTTTAGGGGATGTCCCTGTGGAGACTCTCAGGAAAATCCCCTAAGAGTATAAACAGGGCACAATAGGAGCTGTAGGACAGAAAAGGACTCATAGTTCACCCATCACAGAAACTTTGTCTTTTGATTAGAATGGATTTAAGAGAATTGTGCTTTCACAAACTGTGTGTTTATGCTAGAGTTATGGTATTGACCTGTTAATGTTTGTAGTTTATTATGAAGATGCTACTGATTAGAAAAAGAGTAGAGCTTGTCTGAGAAAATTTTAATATGATATATCCTTAGATTTGATATGTTTAAAAGAACAAATTTGGATTTTGATTGTAGCTACAAACTGTTAAAGATATTGTGAGGATCAAATTTGAACTAAACTAGGACCACTCCTCTTATCTATGATCTCAAGTCCCCCCAAGTTCCTAGAATGAGTCCAACACCCTGGGTATGACTGATGAGGTTACAATTGGTCACTGACCATGACTAATGACAGCTACTAACCACGCCTGATGTATTTTTATCTATTTTACTCTTTAATTCTGTGCTTCTCCTTGCCATAAAGAATCAGGTTAAATGTCAGCTACCCCAAGACCTCTGACAAGGCTGTGATCCACTTGTGGTTTTTCCTATGTAAATGCTGACCTGTAAATGCTCAGGACCGCTCTCCTCCACCCACTGCACTGGAGTGTTGGACAGTGGACGAAGTTTGGGGTTGTAATAAACCTGTTTGTGTTTGCTTCGAATTCCGGCTTTGTGGTGGTTTGTGTGGGGTGCTGTGACACTGGCACAACAACATCCTAGACCAGTTTAGAAGGCGACCCCACCTCTGGTCACTCTACACTCCTTTATTAGCAGACCTTATTGTAGCCATAGGAGTATCACAAAGAATTATCTGCTTGCATATCATTATCTAATGGCTGGTGAACTCTCTTGACAGAAAATTGGCTCGAAGGTACACAGAGCCCGGAGGTGCCCTCTCCCTTAACACTTTGTTTACAGAGGCTGGTAGTCAGTGATGGGTATGATCTTTCCCCCATGCAACCTAAGACAGACTGTACATGATAGAATGTATGTACCGGTGACAGGTAAGTCTGGAAAATGGGGAGAAGACTCTGAAGCCAGGCACGACCATCTGTCTTTTAGCAGAAGCACAGGCTTTATTAAAATAAATTGAAAGGGAGGAACTGTGAGGGTCCTCAGATGCGAGTCCACTCCAACTTGTCTAGAGGTCAGAGAGTTTGAGCTTATTTTGTTCTTTCAAGTTGTTGACAGCAAGTGACTATAAAACAGAGGTTCTGACATAGGGTGGTTAGTTAGTATTTTGAGTACAGAGGTGTATCAGCTCCACCAGGACCAAAGGTCAGAGATGCTCTGTCTATTCCTTTGATCATGTTAATGAAGTCTGTTGCTTCCCCCTTCCCCTTTTGGATTTGGGTATATAAATGTAGAAAATAAAGGCAGTGGGTGTGGGAAGTCCTTCTGTATATGTGTTGCTTTTATTGGTTAATGAATAAAGCTGTTTTGGCCTATGATGGGCAGAATAGAGCAATGTTAAAATTCCAAGTAGATTGAGGAGAAAAGAAGGCAGGATCAGGGAGATGGCATGTAGCCCCCAAAGGAGAAAGACGCCTGCCTGATGGAATGTTAGCTGTTAACCATGAGCCTCGAGGTAAAATACAAAATAATAGGAATGGGTCAATTTAAGAAGTAAGAGCTAACTACAAATATGATTAAGCTATTGGCCAAACAGTGTTTTAATGAATATAGTTTCTGTGTGATTATTTCAGGTCCAGACAGTCAGGAATGAACAAGGAGTCTCTGCCAACAGAATGGCACCAATGTGGGCAACTACATTCACATAAAACCTAAGAGAGCCTTAAAAAAATTCTAGACACACACACACATAAAAAAAACGAGTTTAGCACAGCTTCTTGGCAG